AAGATTCAAACTGCCTAGATGCCCAAGATTTAAATAGTTCTATTATCAAGGAAACACTCGACATCATACTATACCCGTTAAACACGTTAGAAATACTAATAAAATAAAACTGTTGCAACACCATGGAATTATAAAACAACTTTGCTGGTTGGGTTGTGACTATTGTGAAATCAACAATTGCAATTCCACATACTAGATGGGAAATGTTCCTATATTTGACAAATAACGGAACTCGAGATATAGTGATATAACTCATTTAGGATCCTATACCATTCGATATTCAATTATAAAGTTCTGGGATATTTTCTTTTGATGTGTTGTTACTGCAAGTTTCAACGTCACAGAAGGAGACGGTTGAGTTATGGTTGTTTCAGAAGTTTTGGCAGTTTTAGTAGCTCCATATCTCAATAAATATCTGTTCCACTATGTCGTGGTATTTACTGATCGATAGAGAATGTTGTACTCTATACGATGCTGTTAATTTTTTTCCAAATTTATTTTTTTTTGTCTTGTTTCACCTCATTGCTATATGATGTCGTTAAGCGATTTTCCAAGCTCGAAAAATGAATCAAACATTTGACAATGATAGTGTTGCACTGTTCCACGTTGGTTTGAGAAGTTTTGTTTCAGATATTTCAGCTTTGAAGATGAGTACGAATTGATCGACCTACAGTAAGGATGAGGATTTAAGAACCCTGATGGAGACTGGCCCATCACATACGGTGCGTGAGATTGTGGAAGAACTGGTCATCATCTCTCATGCGGTTTTGGATGGTTTGAAACGTATTTGAAAGGTCGAAAAGTTTAAAAAGTGGTTGTCCCACGATTTGAACGATCGACAGAAATTGTCACTTTTCGGTGTCCATTCTTCTTTGATTTTGTGCAAACGATCCTTTTTTGGATCGGATCATCCCTTGTGATGACTAGTGGTTCCTCTACGACAACAGGAGACGTTCAAGGCAGTGGTTGGACACCGAAAGGTAACCCAGGCACTTCCTGAAGGCGAAAACCCACCAGCAAAAGGCCATGGTTACTATATGGTGGTCAACGGCCGGTGTGATTCTGCCACTGGGCCAAATCATCATAGCAGACTCTTATTGTGAGGAAATTGACAAAATTGAGCGTTGAAGTTCTGCCTCATCCACCACACTCCCCAGACTTCTCGCCAAATGACTACCATCTTTACAAGCACTTCGATAACTTTCTCACCGGTAGAATCTCCACCAATCAGGACTAGTATTCGAAGTGTACTAGGACGATGTAATAATAAATATTCGATAAAACGTTTCGTGTCAACATTGCCACCATCAACTTTTTTTTAATACAGACCTGTCTTTTTGTAACAGATATTGATAAAGCGATAAATTCATAATCCATAGCTATATCACATTTGATATTTTTATAGCATTTCATTCGAAATAACCATCATCATCAGTGACAGTGACATCATCATCAAACAGAAAAACACTTTATTTTATCATGAACTTCTGAGAAAATTGAAACCAATACGGGAAATCAAAGCTACATGGCAATCTACATTAAATGCTCGAATTGACGTCCTCTTTGTTGAATGCATATAAGTTGTCGGTACAGACAATTTCTGTGGCAGTTTTCTAGCATAATAGTTGTAATACTAATACATGCATCTCTTATTTTTTATTTGAGAAGGTCGATATCTGTACTTGGTGTTGAAAAAACTTCATCCTGTATGTATCCCCAGACAAAAAATTTAAAGGAGTAAGATCTGGGGATCGAGCTGGCCAGTTAATTGTTCATTGTTTTCAATCCATTTTTTTTGGGAATATTGCATCTAAATGTTTCCTTACTATTGCTGCATTATGGACAGGAGCGCCGTCCTGTTGAAAATATTGTATTTCATGGCGGATATTCAATAGCAATTCATCTGAGTGGCCATCAAATTCATTGAATAGAAAATGTAGATACATTTCACTATTCAAATGATCATCTTAAAAGAAAGGGCCAAGGATGTTTGTTCCCACAATTTCCAACCAAACATTTATTCCGAACATTTCTTGAAAATTAGTTTCCCTATATAAATGATCAGGCGTTCAAGATGGTAAATGAATTGAGATGCTATTTGATCATACCAAATTATACAACAATCAAATTTTGACCAAAAACTGATATTTTTGTTACTTCCAGGATTGAGAATTATAGAAATATTATGAATTATAATTTATTAGGGAGAAATAAGCCTTGAGAAAAGGATTACGCAATACAAAAATTTACAAAACGAAAAAGTAGGAATTTTCATTGTGTTAGGGTACCAACCTGTCGAATTTATTGGGTTGACTGAATTATATTTTGAAGAAATCGAAACAATTTACAAAAAAAGTAACGACAGGACCGTATTTAAAATTGTTGTCACTGATGATGACAGTTATTCCAAATGAAACGCCATAAAAATATCAAATGTGATATACCCTTCAATTGTGAATTTATCGCTCTATCAATATATGTAATAAAAAAGACAGATCCGTATTTTAAAAAAAAGTTAATGGTGGCCAGGTTGACACGAAACGTTTTATGGAATATTCATTATTATCATTATAGTACACTTCGAATACAAAAACATTTTCTCTTTCCCTTTTTTTGATATTCTCCGAAATAACAATTCCATTCGAAAAAAAAAACGTAAAACAGCATTTTTTGTTTTTCCCGTATAACTCGAGAAAGGCGGGAGTCCCCATGAATTTTCTTCGACTATTGTATTATTCCCAATGACAGTTCCCTTTTTCGTCTTCGTATCTATTATGGTTTAGAATACGGGTGTGGCATCGAAAACGAAACAGATCGAATATCTTCAAAACACATGTGTTCTGAAAGAAATGCAAAAATACGTCGATTTTTAATCCAAGGGGGACATCTTCCTATCATAACCTCAACTGTCATACCTCTTCCCCCACCCCTCGGTGACTCGGTGACCCAAACAATTTGAACATGGAAAGTAGTAAGTGTGACACATCGTTAAAAAGGTAAGTTCCTAAGGAATTCAGCCATGTCAATTTTGGCTACCTAACTTTCGATTTTGGCACCTTCTTCCGGAAAAAAAACTGTTCCATATTCCAAATTATGATACTTCATTCGCGGGCTAATTTGACATGAATTCGGTGAAAATGCAGTATGGAGTTTTTCTAGGAGAAAAAAACAAGATGGCGGCTTCACAATGGCGGACAAGATTTGCAATTATGGTCCGATTTGATTCAAAATTGATAAGTGGTGGTTCTCAGGGTCGGAAATTATGAATTATTTTTCAATACAAAAAATCAAGATGGTGGCTCCAAAATGGCGGACGAAATTTTTAATTATATTTCGATTTAACCCGACACCGAAGACGAATTTTTCAAAACACATGTGTTGTGAACATAATGCAAAAACACGTCAATTTTAAATCCAAGAGGGACAAATCTTATCGTTACCTTAACTGTCATACTTCTCTCCCCACCCCTCTCGAGAATAACTTATACTCATTTATGGCAGTTCATGGCGAACACTTTGAGCATCTACTGTGAATTAAAATAGTTTGCGATGATTGTATTATGTAATTTTTTCAATTGTTGTTCTTTTTTTCGTGAACTGTTCACATTACCTATCGAATAAAATGTGAATTGAAAAACGAACCAGTTGTTTTTCCTGCAATAGAGCGCCAAATTAAAAAGTTAAGTAGCGAACACTCACATGTCAGAATTCCTTATGGAATAACCTTTTCAATGCTGTGTCACACTTAGTACTTTCCCTAATCAGATTGTATGAGTGACCAAGGGGTGGGGAGAGAATGAAAGTTGAGGTAACGATAGGATATGTCCCCCTTGGATTTAAAATTGACGTGTTTTTCCATTATGTTCACAACACATGGGTTTTGAAGAATTCGGTTTCGGTGTCGGGTTGAATCAAACCATAATTACAAATTTCGTCCGCCAGTTTGGAGCCACCATCTTGATTTTTTGCATTGAAAAACAATTCATAATTTCCGACCCTAAAAACCGCCACTTATCAATTTTGAATCAAAGCGGACCATAATTCCAAATCTTGTTCGCGATTGTGAAGCCGCCATTTTGTTTTTCCTCCTAGAAAAGCTCCATAATGCATTGTCACCGAATTTAGGTCAAATTAGCTTGCGAATGAAGTATCATAATTTGGAATACGGAACAGCTTTTTTCCCGCAAAATAGCGCCAAAATCGAAAGTAAGGTAGCTAAAATTGACATGGCTGAATTCCTTATGAAATTATCTTTTCAACGATGTGTCACACTTACTACTTTTCCTATTCAAATTGTTTGGGTGATAGTCACCGAGGGGTGGGGGAAGATGTCTCCCTTGGGTTAAAATTTGACGTGTTTTTGCATTTTTTTCAGAACATATTATGTGTTTTGAAGATATTCGATCAGTTTCGTTTTCGGTGCCCCACCCTCTATACCTAGCAATGATACCACATGATAAAAGAAACGGCCTATATATTTACTCAATTCTTTTTCAATTATCACGTGGTATTCATTTGTATGCATTCATATTATGTGTTTTGTTTAGGAATAATTCTCAATTTGATAATATTCAATTGTATTTTGCAACTACTTTTATATCCATGATGTGGTTGAATGCATTGAATTGCAATCTGAGATAGTACAAAACACTCCGCTCGATTAAATTTCCAATTGCAGGTCCTGACGAAGGATAGCGTTACAGTCTCCGTGGATGCCGTTGTCTACTACCGGGTATCAAATGCCACTGTGTCGATCGCTAACGTGGAAAATGCGCATCATTCCACAAGACTTCTCGCCCAGACCACCCTAAGGAATATCATGGGCCAGAGACCACTCCACGAAATTCTCAGTGAACGTGAAAGCATTTCTCAACACATGAAAGCACTTCTCGACGAGGCAACTGACTCTTGGGGCATTAATGTGGAACGGGTTGAGATGTGAGTATTGACGTAGGGAAAGTTGGTAATTAGCTTTACTTCTCTTTTTGCGTCTGAACATTCAGTGAAATGGTTTTATATGCATAGGATTGATCTGAATCAGAGGTCGGCAAATAATTTTAGGTGGGGTCCGGATACCGTGGGATTATGGATTTTCATCAAGTATCGGCCGATTCCATCATATAGATCAATTTGGTTTCAAATCAAATTCTGAATTATAAAACACAAGACCTAATATTAATGTAAGAAATTACACCGACGGTCTTGAGCCAGTTTTTTTGTAGTTTGGTTCTCGAGAGGAACAGCAAATTCAAAAAATTCATCTTTCTATGTTTCATATAGGGGAGGGGTGGATATAGTGGCCACCCTAAGGAACATCTATTTTTTTCCACCCCTTTTTTTGAAACATTTTATAAATCCCCTCAACATTTAGTATGGTTACTTAGGCCTGATCCAAAAATAAAAACAACTTGATTTTTGAACTTATTTGTACAAAATTTTGACTTTACCAAAAGTTGTCAAAGTGGCCACTTTAGGCCACTAGGTAGGGCAAAGTGGCCACTGCCTAAATGGATATAGGTTGTATGGAAAAAATAAAACGCATTTAGTTTCAGAACTCAAAACAATTGTATTAGGGTTTTAAACAAAAATAGGTATGTGAAACTATGAAATCACTGGTATTTACATAAATCACAAATAACGTCATCGTCCTCCTCTTCGGCTCCTGTGCAGGCTTCGTGAGCCCATTTCAGGCACCCAGAACATCTAATCCAGCCTTCGTTGTCCTTGGATTTCGAGTAACAATCACCACAGACTAAACAATCGACGTCGCTGACGTTGCCTTCATCATCATCATTATAGAGACAGTCATTCTTTTTCTTAAACAAAGCGCGTTTTCCTTTATTTTCAATTTCAGCTACCCTTTTCTTAGGAGCCTGCTGTTTCTTTTCGATTTCCCTTTCTCTTTTTGCTTCTAGTCTACGTTGTTTCGCATTCTCTTTATCTTCTATTTATTTCATAACTGCCATGAGAGTGGCCTTATAAGGACTGGATGTTAAAACTGTTGCTGTTCCTTTCTTCCGCTTAGTTCCTCTTTTGATAATCCTATTGACCTTGGGTACAGGAACAATTTCACGTGGACTTACAGCAAATGAAGTGGATTTCTTGTTTGGTGGACTGTTCAAATTTGAAGTTGATTCTAGGAACCAGCTGATGAAGTGCTGGGAATAGATGGATCAAATGTTGCAGAAGGAAGCCCACTGCTAGACCTGATAGGATGATCAACAGAAGGTAGGGATACCATTATGAAGGCGGTATTGGGGTTTCCAGAACCACCAATGAGTTCTGTTGAGCTACTGTTGTTGACAGTCTGAGATGTATGATGGTGTTCTCTTCTCCTGACGCAGGGTCTTCTTGTAGAGTTATTTCTGTTGTTTCAGCAGCTGCATAATCCAGTTCTGTAAACACATTTCTGTCGATTGGGACGATTCCACATTTTCTAAAGCCTTTCATGGTGATAACTGATGTAGGTGCCTTCAAAAACGCTTCACCAAGTAGCCGGGAAACCTGGAATTGAGTCACTGTCCGTCCTGGATTATTCCTTAAGAACCTTTCAATGCTTTGTACAAAATACGTATTGAAAGGTGACATAAACGCAACGTCGAGTGGCTGCATTTTATGACTGCAGTGGGGAAGAATGCAGAAAACAGTGACTTAATTGTCTCTGGCTTTTTCGATGAAGTCTAAGTTGTTCGTATGAGTTGCATGACCATCTAGTACCAGAAGAATCGGGTCGTCTTTTAATGGCTTTGAAAGTTTTAAGAAGTGGTCAAACCATAAGGTGAATATTTCCATTTGCATCCAACCAGTAGGATGACATGCAAAAGCTGATCCAGGAGGTGCACCATCTTGCAGTTTAACTTTCATTCTATGCCTTGGTAAAATCACAAAGGGTGGTATAAATGTCCCTCCAGCCAAAACATAGACTACAAAAGTTGAAAGAACGCCTCGTTCAGCAGATGTTAAAGAGCCGACTTGTCGCCAACCTTGGGAGTACGTGATCTTTCTGAATGCCTTCCAAATTGTCAAAAAACTTTGATACATTAGTTTTGTTAAACGCTTGAGCCCGTGCAGCTGAAGTCGCCTCAGGCTTCCGTAATGCAATCATATGGTGGCGTTTTCTAAATCCCTGTACCCAATCTTTCCCAGCAGCTTTTTTTTCATGACTAAAGTTATGAGGTATGCAATTTTCAACAGTGAGTTTGTAGGCAAGATCCTGTAGATCAGCGACTGTTACACCAAAAGATGGTTAACTATTTTCCTGCTCCTCAGTAAATATGGGCCGAAAGTGAATAAGAACCTTTTTTGTGTTTACTGCATGAACATTTTTGTCGAGTGCACGTCGTTTTAAAGTATTTCGAGGTATCTGGAACCTTTAAGTTGCGGTTTGCCAAGGCAACCCGTCCTTCTTCACTGCATCGATGACCTTTTGCATAGCTTCAGAGTTCCAGGACTGTTGAGCGGTTTTCCTTTTATACTGGGACACCATACTGGTCTTCTTCTGTAAAAAAAACACGGAATTAAAATAATTGAAGTTTGCCGTAATCTTGCTCTTGATATAATAGGCCTACTTAGTTTTGTTTGTGATGAATGCAGTTTCAAAAATCAAGTTTCATGCAACATACATTCCGGGCAAAGTGGACACATTCGCGGGCAAATTGGCCACGGCTGTGGCCACTTTGCCCTCTACCACGCCATTTTCTAAATATAATATTTCACGTACAACCAATTGTAGTATCTACTGTTGAGACATATGAATTCAAAGCTAGAAACATGTTGTTTTGCACGATTGATGTACAATTCACTTCACCTAGGTCTACAATGAAATAAAGCGAAACATGTGATGCACTTACCTAACATCGGAGGATCGAAAAAGTGGAAAATTTGCGATATCTCGTTTAGCTTGCATCTGAGCGGCACCAAACTACAACACAATAACAGCGGCTGCCGGGCGAGTAGTTAAGACTATTGCCGCGAGGCTGCAGCATTATACAGGGAAGAAAACTTCAAGTGGCAACTTTGCCCGCAGTGGCTACTATGCCCACCCTTTCCCTACGTATATCGAGCCAAACATAGTGGCCAAATTTATAGCTAGTTTCTTGCAATTTTCATATTTTTATGAGACATGTTTAGCCCAAAATTCTTCAGTGGATACTGTAGACACATTTGCAAAGACACATCTTCTTGCAAATCAATTATTTCTATTTGAAGTGATGCCTTTGACAGATTAAACAACTTGGCAGCCACATCTGTCCATTTTGCTGCTACATCAACTTCAAATGGCGATTTAAGAAACGGAGATAGCTTGCCTATCCCTGCAAAGTCTTGGAATCTTATAGCAAATTATAGTATTTATAAAGACTGCAATGTCTTCTTCAGAGTTCTTTTCATATTCAAAAATTGTCGGAAAATGAATAAATTCTTGTATTGCAATATCTTTTTCAAAGATATCCAACTTGCTACGAAAAGCAGACACGCTTTGTATCAGATCACATATTAATTTTCCATTTCTGTGTGATTATGTGTATCTTTTAGAATAGCCACGACCAGCATATTACACTTGTTTGTTATGAACTCAAAGTGCTTTCGGCTCCCTCCGTATCTAATTTAGCAATAAGGAGGTTACTTCTTTTATCAGCCCCAGAAACGTTCAATAACTTGACCTTTACTTAGCTAACGAACATTGTCGTGTTGTACTAATTTAGAATACGCTGAATTACATTCAGAAAGAAACTTCTTGAAATGTCGGTGCTGTTTAAGGAAAAATATGTTCAAACTCTGTTTTTCAGTTAAGCAGCTGTCACACTCCTACGAACGACAACCCTCAGAAGGCGAAACTTGTACGAGCTGAGGAATAACGAGGTCTTACCTTTTAACGTGTGATTACAAACACGGGTTGGACGATAGCAAGTGAAAATCGATCGTTCAGCGTGGGGCTTGAACCACCGACCAACACGGCGGTTGATTTGAGTGACTGAACAAAGCACCCACGTCGAACCGACCGGCTATCGACCGTGCTGAAGAGCAGAATGAGACATCAAAAAATTATTCAACTTGACCAAGCTGTCTATCACTTGTTTCAGTGTAGCACTAAGCTTCCCATAAAAGGCTGCCTGGTGAATTGTGCACTGATACGACATTAGACCCGAGTTTGTATCTTGTTTACGAGCCTCACTGCCGAGAGGAAAGTTTTTGAGAAATTGCCGATGAGTTGTTTCGTAATATTGCTTCAATAGCGACAGTTTTATTGCATATAAGGCACACTCGAACCGCTTGAGGCCTATCAGGCAGCGTAAAACAATATTGTTCAGTACATTCTGCCAGAAACCTCCTATTTTTACTGTCCACGCTTTTTAGAATCCATATTAGCATAGTTACGAAAATATTATGAAAACGCGGAAAATCACAAAACAAATGAATGGTGCTCCGTGGTTTGCGCTGCGACTGACAGTCTGCTCGTGACGTAAGCACGCACAAACACACACAGGGTCGATATGAAACTAATAAAACCATGTAGGTACTTGTAAAATAAGTACATACTTAGTTGAATTTTATGTGACTTAAAAATATTACTTTAATTAATAAAGGTGTAGTATACCTTATCTACGTATCAATTTATACTTGTTATATAACACATCACAAGGTCCAAGGTTAGACATTTCGCGGTATGCAAACGGACTGCGGACCACCTGTATTGATCCTCTTCGAAATGTACAAAGTTGGAGACTATTAGACCTTTTCTGCAAATTAAATTCCACTGGTAGAATTCTGTTTTGGTTTTTTGAGGCGTAGGTCAACTATTTGTTTTGCATGGAGTGCTTTTTTTTCTTCTAAGCACTTTTGGAAGCCGTTAATTTTTCCCGAAAGATTGCAGGCTCATCGGTATAACCAACAATCTTGTTACCTGTACTAGTTTGTACAGATCCCATGCTGGATGTATG